GAAATTATTTTATATTTTTTGTTTTTAGCATTATTTCGTTTTTCAATTCCGATGCTTTTGTGCTTCATATTTGTAACGGTGAATCAGACAATTGCCGCATGTTTAAATGACCAATGGTACCGCAAAAATTTTTCCAATTATCCAGACAATAGGAAAGTACTGATACCTTATCTTTTTTAAGGATATCTTTCATATAGGAAATGATTTTTCTTTTTTGCTCTCGACAATTTTTTTCTACTCCTAGTGGTTTTCTCACGGTTCTCGCGAAATAAATGAAATGCTGCAGGAGCTCAGTTCATAAAGTAAAGAAGTGGCCTCACAAATTAATGCATCGAAAACGAAGATGATGCAAAGTGCCGACACGCTTATTACGTCTGCACTGGCTAAGAACCAAAGACAAGCCACAATTTCCAGCTGGAGTTTGTACGTAGGAAGACTGCCGATTGCTTGGCGCAAATTCCACAGCATCGCTGACGTTCTCAAAGTTCCGGTAACAGAAGGAACGTGTCCACCTTTTCGATGTTACTGCGTTGAAGGCAGTGTTAGGAATTGTGGTTACTAACAAGAGTTAGAGAGTGAGAGCAGGCTGTGGCGGAGAGAGAGCAGTGGACACTTGAAGCTTTTTCATAAACATAGACAATCGGACTTTCCGCCATGTAGGATATCGCTGTAGCCATGCGAGAAAGTAAAATCCGATAGGTAGAACTTGCTATCCGCCTTACCAACGTGAATGGTACTCACAAGAAAGCAAACAACCGAAGAGGTAGCGCGCATACATCGAGCAGGCGGCGGATACTACCTGGAAATATGCAGTCCAAGGATGAAGGTCTTGACCTAGCTGCGGCTGACATATGGTAGAATCAGATCCAAGCTCTAATGATCCGAATAATTTTGATAATCTCGGTTAATCCGGTAAACGTTAATCCTTGCATTCATGTTGGTTCTCTGTAACATGTCTTCAAAGTTAATACTTGATAAAAGTTTACCGAATAAATTCGGTTATTTTGTGATTTGTTTATATCATCTTATTTGATCTGATTTAATCATCATACAGTTGTCAGTTAGATCATCTGATTAGTTCTAATCCGATCCTCACCCACCTACCAGTCCAGTTATTTTATTTCATTTGATTCAATCAAGATTCAGTTACAGTTAGGTCATTCGATAATTCGATCTGATCGCTAATTAATCTCGGAAAAGCAGGGACTGGAGGATTTTGCCAAGCGGTGCATTCGGACTGTCCAGGTTTCTTTGATAAAGCGCAGCTATTCCACCACGCTGTACTTGTAAAATTTTTCCAACTGCATGTAACAAGTCGTTGGCGGATTTTTCTTTATCGTTGAGCTCCTTCGGTTCATCGCCTTTCGCAGTTTTCAGATCATCATAATTGTCTTCTGCAAGAAGTACACTTTGTAGAACCACAATAAGTGATCATGATTCAATAATTGCTAGTAATTTCAATCCAGAAAATGGCTCGGAGAACAAGTAAATTTTGGACCGAAATTACATCTGGGTATGGCTGGTGGACCTGGGGCAGTGGTACTTTTTACGCCTCAACTTGTCTGATACCAGTGAAAAAAACAGATTTAGTGTGACTTGTCTTGAAAATGGTTTTTACCGCTCAAAAAAATTGAAGGGAAAGAATCTGACTATCCCAAAAGTACCAACTTCTAGATAAAGAAATCAGTAAAAAATGATTTTTTTAATAAAACAGTAAAAAAAATTCCAGAAATCTC